GTTGTAGTTAATCATGAAGAACAATATTCCATTTGGTTCGAAGACCGGGAACTTCCTTTAGGATGGAATGAAGCCGGAAAATCAGGGAATAAAGAAGAATGTCTTTCTTATATAAAAGAAGTTTGGACTGATATGAGACCTTTGAGCTTGAGAAAACAAATGGAAGAAACAGCTAATGCTTGAATTATCTATCACTTTTATAGTGAGCAGCAATTAACTTTTTGGCATAAGCAACCGCACAATATTAAATCAAACTAAAAAAACTCTTATCCTTTTTAAGGATAAGAGTTTTTATTTGATCTAACTTAGATATTGCTGGGGTGTTTAATGTAAAACGATTTCAAAATTGTACGGTTTACGGGTTTAATAAGTATTTCAACCTTTCTTTAAACTGTATGACCAATTCCAAGGGTTAGTTTGATCTGCTCGATTATTACATCTGTTTTTGAGTTAATAAAAAAGTGATTACCTTGAAGAATTCGATGACCGAACGCGGCTTGAGTTTGCTCCGCCCATTGTATCAATTCGACCTCAGAAACCTCTTCGTCTTCATCTCCTCCAAAAGCAAATATCGGACATTTAAGTTTTTGACCTTCGACATATTTATAAGTTTCTATTAATTCAAAATCAGTTCTCAAGAGAGGAAGCATTAATTCGAATAGTTCTTTATTTTCGAGAAATTCCTTCGGCGTTCCATTGAGTTTTAATACTTCGTCTATAAACTCATCCGTCGGAAGATTATGAATGATAGGATTACGCGATGCTAATTGAGGCGGGCGGGATGCGGCTACGAACAAATGTTGTGGGAAAATGTCATATTTTTGAAGAAGTCTTGAAATCTCGAAGCCGATAATTGCGCCCATACTATAGCCGAAAATTGCGAATGGACGATCCAAAAATTCCCGCATTTCTCCAACTATCACTTCCGTTAATTTATGTAAATCCGTAAAACCTGTTTCGCCGATCCGCATTGCTCTTCCCGGTAAATTAACCGGACAAACTTCTACATGATTCGGAAATATATTGCTCCAAGTTCTGTAGGTAAAAGCATTACCTCCGGCAAACGGAAAACAAAAAAGCCTCATTTTTACTTTTTCGTCTTTTCTGATGTTGGGAAACCAAAGATTTTTCATTTTTTGCTTATATTATTCCTCAAAATTACATAAAAAATTTTGCTCTAATCTTGTGAATATAAAACAGATAATTTATATTTCAAAATGTGTAAGTCAAAATATTTTACTCGCTTGAAATATATTTAATTTTCACTTTAAATATATTTTTCAAATGAATGATTTTCAATTAAAAATTTCTTTAAATTTGAGGATAATTTATGTCTGCAACTGCTAAAAGTTATGAATTTCAAGCTGAGACCACTCAGCTTCTTAATTTAATGATAAATTCTTTGTATACACACAAAGATATTTTTTTAAGAGAATTGATTTCAAATGCCTCGGACGCATTGGACAGGCTCAGATTTGAATCATTGACCGATTCAAAAATTCTCTTTGATTCTGAAAAACTCGAAATTCTGATTCAAACCGACGCTGAAAATCACACTTTAACCATTAGCGATAACGGAATCGGAATGAGCCAAGATGAAATCATAAATAATATCGGCACTATTGCAAAATCCGGGACATCCGAATTGCGCGATGAAATCGGAAAAGCCGATTACCAAGAACAAGTTTTCAAATTGATCGGACAATTCGGGGTTGGATTTTATTCGGCTTTTATGGTTGCCGATAAAGTAGAATTATTAACGC